GAAGGAAGGAAGGAAGGAAGGAAGGAAGGAAGGAAGGAAGGAAGGAAGGAAGGAAGGACCTTAATCTCCAAAGACTGGACACTAGTCTTTGGAGTGGTGACATGGACTGCATTCCTGCAAACCTAATCTCCCACTAGGTTTTGCAAGCTGACATATCTCAGTGCCAAGTCTAGGGCATACTGTTCTAAAACAGAGATCCCTCTATCCTGCCACTTATTCACAAATCTAATAATTTTTGTCTAAAATGTACAAAATCATTCTATGTGCTACTCCTTCAGACTTCATACTTTTCCAATGATCCCATATACATATATAAGAACCAGATACAACTGGCCAAAATAAATCAATGAAATGATTCCTAATGATATCTGCTATACTCATTGGTTGGTGCCTTATCTGGTCATCATCAGAGAAGTTTCCTTAGACACCAGGTGCGGAGACCCACAGCCAGACTTTATGTGGGGAGGGCTTGTAAATTGAAAGTTTCCATCAGGTCTCTCCTCTCAGAGCACTGGGAATCCCATAAAAGATGGGGAGAAAAGATTCTAGAAGCCAGATAGCATGGGGACATCAGGAGAACATGGCCCACTGAACCACCTAAACAGGGATCACAAAGACTGAAGTGCCGAGCACACACGGTCTGCACCAGGTCCACAGTGGATGTGCCATAGCTGTAGCTTGGCGTTTTGTGGGACTCCTCACAGTTGTAATGGGTATCTCTCAGACTCTTTTGCCTGTTCTTGGGACTTGTCCTCCTATTGGGTTGCCTTATCCAACATCCTTATGAGGGTTTTTGCCTTATCTTATTGCATCTTGTTTTGTCATGGTTGCTTATTGTCTCTTGGAGATCTCCTCTTTTCTGAAAGGGAAACAGAGAAGTAGTAGATCTGAGGATAGGAGCAGTTGAGGAGAGCTATAAGAAGCAAAGAGAGGGGAGTTGTTGTTGGGATGTATTGTATAAGAGAAGAATCTATTTTCAATTAAAAAATTCTGTGATAGTCTCTCATTGATCTGCCTTATACTAAATTTGGTTCCTACACTCAGTCAAAGAGTCTATAGAAAAGCTAAGGGAGAAGAAAGAGATAGACTGAGATGCACCTTGTAATCAGTTGAGGCCAAATACTCAGCATGCACAAGAATCCTGTATGACAGAAGGCATGCTACTGACTAAAAAACAAAAGTATTTCATTGAGAAAAGATTTGAGATACTATTCAGGTAGAAAAATAAATCGAGTTATGTTTCTGCTAACACAAAAGATCCTAATATAATCTCCTTATAAATTACATACATTAAAATGACAAACATTTGGAAAAGAAAAGACAGGTGACAGCTTTCTGAGCTCAGAAAGAGGAGAACTACTCAAGGATCAAAAAGCCCTCAGGTAGGAGTGTGAAACTGACTCCATTATCACTGAGAAATTCAGTATACAAATAACTATTTAAAAAAAAAACGTCAAACTGAAAAAAGATTCCTAAAAACTTAAAATCTGTACAAGACTCATTATAGGAAGTTATCTTAGGAATTTATCTTTCACCAGGCAGTGGTGGTGTATGCCTTTAATTCTAGCACTCCAGAGGCAGAGGCAAGAGGATCTCTGTCTGAGTTCAATAGAAGCCAGACTACACATAGAAACCCAGTCTTAAAACAACAACAACAAAAATTTTTATTTCAATGACAATCAACTCGCGCCATTAATTGTGCCAAAAATCCATGGCTAACTAGGGCATAAGCAGTAGGAGAGAACCTAGTACTATTATTCAGCTAAATGGACATGATACATCTTTCTACATATACAGGCAAGCATGAGTGTGAACACATAGAGAACAGACAAATCTAGATGCAAACACACAGGTATCTGAGCATGTTTAAATTAAGATGGCAAACATGACGCAAACATTGAAAACAGATTTTAAAATTGAGAAAAACATCTTGTCTTCTTGGCAGCAAGAGTTGATCTCCAGTCACTGAGACTGAGCCACTTTGTCACCCCTTAGCAGAAATGGCAAACAGAAAATGAGTTTGGAGGAAAACTGTAAAATGATAAATTCTGGACCATACCCCTGGGGAGTCCTGATGACAGCATATCCTGAGCTCGGTGGAGTTTCACCATTCAGGATTTTGAATGTTGTACTCTTCCCAGCACCATTCACACCAAGGAGCCCAAAGCACTAGAAATAAAAAGTGAAGTTAGACACAAAGTGTGAAGTCTAATCAGCATTGTATTAGAAATAGTCTTTGCTTTGATGGTATATCGATGTTTTTGATATAGGATAGTGGTACGCCATGAAATCATGCTACTGTGTAAAAGGTACTTTATGCTTTGAATGCTAATGTGGCACTTGTGCATGAAAAATCATTAGTTAATTTAATGAAAAATAAATTTGGATATATAAAACTTAACAGAATATGTACTAAGTAACCATAATCCAAATTATGCAAGATAATCATCTTTGGAAGGCATGTCACTGCAGAAGGTGCTTTTCTTCTGATTTTGTGCATGTGTGTGTGTGTGTTTGCACGCTACAGGGAGAGAGGGAGAGAAATGTCTATATATAAACAGATGCTAGATGATGATAGATAAATAGATATAGATACTTACACAAATGTATATATGTATATATATATATAATATATATATAGGGAGATGAATGGATAAAAATTAAATAGATAAATTATAGAGAGAAAATTTGACAGATGTCAGAGAGATACTAATTAATAAACAATAGATGATATATGTGATAAATAGATAGATAGATAGATAGATAGATAGATAGATAGATAGATAGATA